TTTATGGCCTTCACACGCGTTGCAGTATGCTCCTATTCTTTTTATGCTCAGGCACTAAGATTTCCCTTCAGTGGTAAAATTCCATATAAATATTCAATACTTAAACGGGCACAGTAAAGATGTTTACTGTAAATCTTTCTACTACAGACCGATGGACCATGAGTGCCCGTCGGTCAACCAATCACGTACCGCGGTACCACGTGTCATCCTGCGTCACAATGCGCGACTCCGTAGCCAATAACCTCCGGTACGTGTGTGTACCGCGCACTTTGAATGGCTGCATCTGTATATTGAAAAAGTTTTTACGTGCTCCTTCTGACTATATTAAGTTCATATATTTCATAAAAAGTTAGAATGTTTTAACCTTTTCTATGAAAACTTGCACTCGTTTTCACAGTAAAAAAATGCATACTTTTTAGAATTTGATTTAGTTTAATAAGAAATATAATATGGAATCGCAAATCTAAAGAAATTAATAACGATATAATTATATTCATATAGCTCAAATTATTACAGTAGTACACTTTCTTTGTAAACATCTGAATCAAATTGACTTATACACCAGCGATTACTTGGAATCTTCTTTTCCTGTCCATTTCAGCTATAGCGAAGGCTGTCAAGCGGCACATTGGTGTAATGGCTTTGGCGTGTGACTCGCATGCTGGAGGTCAGGGGTTCAAACCCAGCTCTTGCCGTGAATTTTCTTTTAACAAATAAACATTTCTTTGAAAAACTAAAATAGTAAAAATTATCGAAACTATTGAATTTATTGGTATTTCTAAATATCACAACACATTCAAAGTTAAGTGATTTATTAATAACAGCTAATAATTTCAAATTGCTGGTATTCTGTTCGGGGTGATTCGTTTTCACAAACTTCAATTTATTAAACGTCTATTTTTGAGACAGGGTGTTCCAGACCTCTGTTTAATTTCTGAAACTTCCTCTGTATTCCATGTTTTAACCTTTTCTATGAATACTTGCGCTCGTTATCGCAGTAAACAAAATGCATATAATATAATATGGAATATAATATGGGAATATAACATGGAATCGCTTATCTAAAGAAATGAATAATGATTAATTTGAGGATCTAAATATATGTATTTTTATAGCTGGTAGGAAAGAATACTGTAATACACTGTTTCCACGTGTTTTATAGTTGAGAAACATATTCAAGCTGTTCGTCTCAGCTGTGTTTCTGAACAGCCCATTGGTACAGTGG